AGTACTTTTGGGTTTTTTTTCCCTGATTATCTCCCCTTGTTTTAGAGTCCCAACCCTTATTTTAGTAAAAATAGTAGCCCTTTGGCCAAGGATAGCCTGTGACAAATTGACACTGACTGGCCATGGGGTTCTTCAGTTTTGGCCCATATTCTAAAAAGTTTACACACACCGCACACCGCACTAATGGCCATAGCTTTAGCTAGCTCTTTGAGCCTTTGGCTGAGAAGAGCTAAAAATCTTTAAAAATCTTCTTCTCAAAATCCATAGGGACAGGAAAGATGAAACTCATGTTGAATCATCCTCAGGTAGTGTAGATTCAAGATTGTTCAAATCATGACCCCCGGGTGGTAAGATTGCGCCACAATGGCTGATCAAAGTTTTACATAGGAATATATAGGGAAATCTTTAAAAATTTTCTTCTCAAGTACTGCAAAGCCATGATTAGTGATATTTATATGGAAGCATCCTCAGGTAGTGTAGATTCTTGTTTTTTCAAATCGTAACCCCCAGGGATAGGGTGGGGCTACAATGGGGTATCCAAGTTTTACATTAAAATATCTTTTTTTTTTAAATTTTCTTCTCAAGAATAGCAAAGCCATGATTAGTGATACATGTGTATTTATATGGAAGCATCCTCAGGTAGTGTAGAATAAAATTTGTTCAAATCATAATCCCCCAATTAAGGGTAGTTATAGTTCTCAATGGTGGATCAAAGTTTTTCATATGAAAATTAAGAGGAAAATCCCAAGAACAGCACAGGTATGTTTAGTCATATTGACATGTAAGCATCCTCGTGTATTGAAGATTTAAATTTGTTCATATCATGACCCTTTGGGATAGGGAGGGAAACAATGGGGAATCAAATTAAAATTACATGTATTACAAAGTAGTATAAACAAATTGTTTAAAAATTTTTTTCTCAAGAACAAAGTTATATGCTGCATTGATATGGAGGCATTCTCAAGTAGTATTAAAATTCAACTTTTCAATTCTGATCTGATTTGTCTTGTCCTAGCCGATGTGCTCCGGTGAGCAATGTGGCCCCTGGGCCTTTTGCTTAATTCAAAATATGACTTCACTTTGTGTTTGCTCTGGTGAAAGATCACGTGCCTGGTTGGTACAGTACTGCAGGAAGAATGCCATTTACGAAGTATTTCACATCCTTTATTCAATTAAATTTTTTCTAGTTTAATAAGAAATTCTTTTAAGTTTTTGTGGGAAGTATATGATATTTAATGGGATTCCACGCATTTTTTTTTTCTTTTTTTCATTTTATTTTATATATCCAGCAGCATTTATCACAGAAATTAAAAACAATTGAAGAGATTTATGTGCCCCATAGTGTTTCATGATTTTCAGAGATCAACTCCATATCCTCTCAGTATGAATGTCACAATTTTTTCAAAGATACCTCTGGTCTTTTTTTTTATTGAGAAAATGCTTGAATTTTTCTAGGACAATAACTATAATATAGTCCTTGAATACCAAGTGTACCAAGTAATCTGTAGGAAAAGATCGACCTTTTTCCATCGAAGTGATGTATAAGCTTGCCAAGAGTTACTTCTCTATGGCCGCCCTATTGTAGGGCAAAATTCTCAGATCCCATCATTATTCAACCAAGTTCAATTTGTTATACTGGTCACTGAGGTGAAGACATTACTGCTGTTCATGTGAATATACATTTGTTAAAGCCCCTTTTTATTCAATATTTTAATACTGTAAATATGTCCCCCTTATTGTCCCCCGCTTTCGCGAAAGCGAGGGGACATTAAATCTCATTCGTCTGTCTGTCTGTCCGTCTGTCCGTCAGTCTGTCAGTCTGTCCGTCTGTCAGTCTGTCCGTCACAAAAACTTTAACCTTGCCCATAACTTTTGATTTAGTAGAGCTATGACTTTCATAATTCACATGTGTATTCCTTGTGACAAAACCTTTCTTTGTGTGCCACCAAATTTGACCTTTTGACCTTGACCTTGGAGTTTGACCCACTTTTACACAGAAATTTCAAACTTTTACTTTGGCCATAACTTTTGAATGGAAGGTACTAGGACTTTCATATTTCACAAATGTATTGTTTGTGGAAAGACCTTTCATTGGATACCAACATCCTTGACTTTTTGACCTTGACCTTGGAGATTTCCGTATCTATGAAAAAACTTTAACCTTGGCTATAACTTTTGAACAATAAGTACTACAGCTTTCATACTTCACATTTATAATCCTGATGAAAAGATCTTTCATTGGATACCAAGAACTTTTACCCTTTGACCTTGACCTTGGAGTTTCAACTACTTTTTAAAAACTTTAACCTTGGTCACAACTTTTAAACAGTAGATACTAAGACTTTTATATTTCACATATGTATTCCTTGTTGCAAGACATTTCATTGGATACCAACAACCTTGACTTTTTGACCTTGACCTTGGAGATTTACTTACTTATGGAAAAACTTTAACCTTGACCATAACTTTTGAACGGTGAGGGCTAGGGCTTTCGTACTTCACATATGTAATCTTTTTGAGAAGACCTTTCATTGGATACCAACAACTTTTACCCTTTGACCTTGACATTGGAGTTTTAACTACTTTTAAAAAAAACTTTAACTTTGGTCACATCTTTTGAACGATAGATACTAGGACTTTTATATTTCACATATGTTTCTTTTGTGACAAGTCCTTTCATTGGATATCAACAACTTTGACCTTTTGACCTTGACCTTAAAGATTTACGTACTTATGTAAAAACTTTAACCTTGACCACAACTTTTGAACGGTAAGGGCTAGGGCTTTCATGCTTCACATATGTAATCCTTGTGAGAAAACATTTCATCAACAACTTTGACCCTTTGATCTTGACCTTGGAGTTGACCTACTTTTAAAAAACGTTAACTTTGGCCATAACTTTTTAACGGTCAGGATAAGGGTTTTCATCCTTCAAAAATTCAACTTCAATGATAATTTCTATGAAATGACATATGATAGGATGTTCATATTAGACACAATATGTCATAAAAAATAACATCTCACCAACAAAGACACCGAAAGCGGGGGACCACAATTTGCATTTTGCAATTTGAATTTGCTTGTATTTCTTGCATACAAGTTCAAAGTTGGTTGCTTAAAGAGGAAATTCACTGCTTTGACCTACAAAATGGCGGCCAATCGGAATAATCCCAAGGTAAAATATGTGGTACGTCACAGGAAAACGATCTATTACCCTGGGTACCAACTGTGCCCCATAATAAGGTTATTTTGTACCCCGCTTTCGCGAAAGCGAGGGGACATTAAATCTCAATCGTCTGTCCGTCTAGCTGTCTGTCTGTCCGTCCGTCACAAAAACTTTAACCTTGCCCATAACTTTTGATTTAGTGAAGCTATGACTTTCATATTTCATACATGTATTCCTTGTGACAAGACCTTTCTTTGGGTACCACCAAATTTGACCTTTTGACATTGACCTTGGAGTTTGACCCACTTTTACACAAAAAAATTTAATTTTTACTTTAGCCATGATAACTTTTGAACGGTAGATACTAGGGCTTTTATATTTCACATATGTATTTTTGTGGCAAGACTTTCATTTGATATCAACAACTTTGACCTTTCGACCTTGACCTAGGAGATTTCCGTACTTATGAATAAACTTTAACCTTGGCCATAACTTTAAAATGGTAAGGGCTAGGGCTTTCAAACTTCACATATGTAATCCTTGTGAGAAGTCCTTTCATGGGATGATATGATCTTTGACCTTCTGACCTTGACTTTGGAGTTTGTCCCACTTTTTAAAAACTTTAACGTTGGCCATAACTTTTGAAGGGTTAATGCTAGCCTAAAGGGCTTTCATACTTCAAATATTAAATCCTTGCGACAAATCCTTTTATTGAATATCAAGCACTTACAACCTTTGGCCTTGGAGTTTGACCTACTTTTTAAAAAAAACTTTAACTTTCGTCATAACTTTTGAATTTTAAGGGCTAGGGCTTTCATTTTTCACAGTAATCCTTGTGAGAAGACCTTTCATTGGATACTAAGAACTTTGTCCCTTTAATTACCTTGACCTTGGAGTTTGACCTACTTTTTAACATTTAGGTATCAATATATTTAATTTCCATTTAAGAAAAGTTTAGTCTTCGCTTTGTTGTCATACGGGGTCATCAGTGTTTCACAAACGCATTTTGTTCCTTTTACCTTTTGATTGACAAGAGATAGGGCTTTCATATTTGACATGTACGTGAATTGCCTATGAAAAGATATTTCCGAGCAAGCTGTGATTTCTGATTCCTTGACCTTCACGATTGACCTTGTTTTTAAAAAAAATCAACTTTGGTGATAATTTCTAAATGACATATAATAGGGCGTTCATATTTGACATCTCACCCACAAAGACACCGAAAGTGGGGGACCACAATTCTTTGAATTTGCTTGTTAAATATTATTATGAAGCAATTTTTGTTCAAAAACTTTCCCGTGAAAACAGTAAATCTCTTGCGGTGGTTTTTCAATTCAACAGTGAGGTCCTTCGGTTGAGACCTTCAAAACCGAGGCCCCTTGTGGCAGTCGGTGACGGCACGATAAAGATTCCTCACAATGGTCCTGGGTGCCGAGTAAAGGTCAATTTATACGTTAGTTTGATATATCTCATTGAATTCAAAATAAAAGACGCCTGTCTGACACAACTGCCTCATATTCCGGAATTTTATGACAGAAGGACATTATGGCAAAATTAAAATACCAGCTAAGCTTTCATTGGAACCCAATGACTTAATTTAACTTTTCAGATTTCCTTATTTATAGAAATATACATGTAATTACTGCATGTACATGCTGTATTATCGCTTCATTTTAACAATAAAGTGCTTTCTTTAGATCATGTAGATCTCAGTATGGGAATCAATGTTGCAGTCGTTGCAGAAAGCGGGTTATGTATTTTCTTCAAAGTTGCAATATTACTCCCAAAACAGTGTACCAACAAACTAAGAAAAAACATTTTTTTTGTTCATCATGTTTATATATACATCTTCACAAATAATCATCTAAAGAAGTACCATTTATCTTTTCGACTGGGTAATTGGTGCAACAAAGGTTGAGGCCAAAATCATTTTTTTTATAATATGATTAATAATTTATTAAAAGCAATAATAAGTCATAAATTATGCTTCCATCTACACCCAGTAGAAATAAAAATTGTATCTCAGTGAAGCAGTTAAATCTTTGGCCATAATTCTGGATTAGTGTTTAAAAAATCCATAGACATCAGCGAGGCTATTCCACTTTGCATGAGTTGAGCATGAAATGTTTCGTATTTTGTCATCAATGTGTCATAACGAGTCTTTTCTTCCTCGAGTTGTTTGTCAACGGCGTCGGTCTCCGACAGGAGGGCGGATCTTTCATTTTCGAGGGCGGGGATTTGTAATTGCAGACTACTCAGTTCCTTGTCGGTGGCTTCTATCTTTCTTCGTAAATCTGTGACTAAAAAGGAAAGTTTGTATATACAAAATATGGTACAATGACTGAATCAAGACTGTTTTAAAAAAGATGGAGGCACATACTTGTAAGGAATCTAAGCAAAAAGCCGGCATCAGAATTCTTTGAAGATCCTCCCCAAAAAAGGGGGTAATACATACATGAGTTGCTTTCCTTATTACAACAAGGGGTCCTTACTTCCAGGTGGGTGTGTAATGTATATGATTATTTTGTTGGGTTATTTATATTTTCTTAATCAAAATGTAAAATACTAGTACACCAACTTAAGGATGGAGGACGGAATCTTGCGGCCGTTGGGTCCGCTACTGAGTATATACATAAGCCTATATTTATATTCTTACATTAGCTTGAGACTAAATGGGAAGAACAGAACACATCCTTCCCAATTCATGAAAAAAAAAGAAATACGTGCTTTTCTTGCCCAACTTCCTTTTTACAATCCTGGATTCTCTGCCTAACTTCCTGATCTCCCTGTCATATTTCTGCTTCATAACCATTGTCTCCATTTTGTAGTTTCTATCGTCTGTCTGGGAGGAAGCTTCAGTGAACTTTTCGTCCCCGGATGTTGATGAAGATTCCAGCGTTTCCTCGCCATGGCCGTCCACCGGATGAAAAACTACAAGCATTCAGTATAATCCTGCTATATTTTTCGGATTCCATAAAATATAAATAATTCTTTTGATAAAAAGTAATTACAGTTCTGCAAGGCTGGGACTAATTCCCGAGACAGAGTCGAGGGAAATAGCCCCGATTGCGGGGAACTGAAATCTTGTTTACTCCCTACTCAACGATTTACTTTTGAACTGGTTAAAATATGATTAGGCCAAAAAATTAATTAATAGTTTCTCAGGCCAAAAAATTCAAAATTCAATGCGGCCCACAATGATTTACTTTTTCACTGGTTAAAATATTATAATTAAATAATGATTCCAAACATTCATTTAAAAGTTAACTAAAAAGACTTTAGATGATAAATATATATATTTGTTTATGGGATAACTGCTTTTTCAACTTGGAAAAATAGAAAATTGAGATATTAAACTCACTTGACTTGATTTGATTTTTTTGGCGCAGGATAGGGCTAAAGGATATATTTGTGCATTCCTATTAAAACGTAAAATCGAGAGGATTGCGGATACACATATAACCAGAAATAAGCCTCCGGGGGGGGGGGGGGGGGGGGTGGAGGGTGGAGGGATTGGAAGGCTGATGTCACCTTTCGACCGTTCCTTCTGTGTAGGTGTCCAAATTGAATTTACAAGAAAAACAAATGCCATTAAAAAAAATTAATGAATTTTAGATTACTTATTTTGATGTAAACTAGCTCAATTTAAAAAAAACGTCCTACCTTGTACAATATTAAAACATGCAAAAAATGTTGCTGCAGCTACAGCGTGTTCTCCTAAAACTTCCTGTAAAATATTGGAAATCAGTAGTTAGTAAATCTTACGCGTTTTGATTAATTATGCAAAAGATTCTAAAGGTAAAATTTAAAAATAGTATTTATAAAAAAAAAAAGCCATATGTGGTGTTAATATATACTTACGGTAAGAACACTGTCAATTTTTATCGAAGGACCAAGTCCCAGTGTGAGTATTGTTCCTATGCACAGAATCAATGGGGCGTACAAGCAAAATTCCGCAGTAGAAATGAGAGGATCTGAAACCCTAGAGTGAAGCGTTAACTTGAATTTTAAATTTTAAAATCAGTTTAAATTTCTCAAATATAATTTCCAAAAAGAAATTTTACATACCCGTCATGATCGTTAAAAAATTTGAATTTTTGGCATGACATGATTCAAGTCTACAATAAAATGACGTCACAGTTTATTAAACGTCATTATATTGGAATCGATCAATCACGTATTCTCGTGTCTTTCCGGAGATGAAGACAATCCTCTTTAGAAATCACTTCGAAAAACACTTCGAATGTGAAATAATAAGCATTTTTTTTATTCATTTCGTCAGAGAAATAAATTTAAACGGCCTACATGTAAGTAGAGGACAAAAAATGTCATCTAATTTAAAAATACATTCTGAATCCCTCCCCCCACCCAATGACCTTGTATGTTGAAGTATGCACGTACATCAAGAAAGAAAGAAAAAAGAAAAAACTCGAAAATCCTTTGTCAAGGGAGGGTGGGGGGTGGGGGGTGGGGGTAGGAGTTTGGTACGGACTTCTTTCAGTACATTTTTTTTTCAAACACTAACACTTATATTTTTTGGCCTACACTATACCGTGACTGTTGAAGGAGGGTAACTTACGACCCAATGTTCAATGCCTTATATCTTTGCAAAAAAGGTGGGGAGGGAGAGGGGGTAAGACCCCCCCCCCCCCAGTGCCGACGCCTATGTTGATTTTGTTTTTACGTTTTCAATAGAATTTAGGAATCCGTTAGCAGGAGCCAACCATATGCGGAGAATGATTTGCCGTATTGGGGATACCCATCGCTTTATAACATGGTACCGCATTTGTGTAGTAATGTTTTACTTTGGGGGTGGGGGTTGAAAAAAAACCAAGGCTTGGATTTTCTTTCTTGCTTGTCAAGAATAAGTATTATGCTACGGGAAACATTAAAGAAACTCATAATAATGTCTTGTGTACTGCATGTTAAGCCAACAATTTTCCAGGGAAAAATTAATTTAATTCATATTGCGAAATAGCTTATACAGTTATTTCCTCTTTTTAAACATTTATACAATTTTCTGCGTATTAATCTAATCAAGTTCATTGAATTGGATGAACGGATGAACAGAGAGACCAAAATTCATATCTCCCACTTTGTGAAAGTGGGAGACTTTTTCAAAAATCCCCTGCTTGTATCAAACTATCAGTCAGATTAAAGCATAATCTTTAAGGCTAATCATGCTCTGTATAATTAACTTTATTTGGGGGCCCTTGGATCTTAATGATTTACAAGCAGTACTTATAACCAGTACTAGTACCATTCACAAGAGTTCATTGTGGTATGAAGAGAACCACAAAATCATGTGCATAACAAAATTGTAAAATACGTAACTGCAGTATTACATGTATGTTTATTTCATCAACCACTGACACAAAGAAAATACCGATGTACGGATTTGTATTATGGATTCTTTAATGATATGCAAAGCAATATATATGTACTTTCAGTTTAACCAGACGAGTGTAGTACCTGGCAGAAAGGTCATTTAAATATAAAAAAAAAAATACTGATATTAAAATAGTACAAGTACATTGTAGATATATAGATAGTATAAACAAATTTGTCATAAAAATAACATATGCATCATTTCCAATTCTTCCAATGACTCATTTTAGGGCACTACAAATACAATGTTAAGGTCAAATAAAACAAATAGAATGTTTTGTTGGTTTTCAACTCTACTAGAGAGCATGCTAAAAGTGAAGGGTTGGAAGAGACTTTAAATACATCTTTGAAGTCACTATTATCAAAGTCTTTCTTTCTCTGTCTTTCTCTCTTAACCATGTTGGGATACATTAAAAAATAATTTCAAAATCATAATGACAACAAAAACATGTATCAGGACTTTGGTTTCTCCTGAGGAGGTCCGAATCGTTCCATGGTCTGAATCACTAGATTAAGGTGGTCAAAAAAGGAGTTGACGCCTACTCTCATCATACGAGCTTCCTGAGATTCAAAGTGTCTGCAAACAAAAATGAAATATTTTAAAAACGAATTCCGGATATATCATCTAATCTACAATATTTGTGTAACTGTTATACATTTTTCTCTTCAAAAAGGGAGGGAACTGCAAGTATACAAAAACAAGGGATATTAAAGGAGGATGGGGGGTCAACAAATTAACCACCAGATATAATTTCATTTACTAGATATGATACCTTAAGCTGTCAACAATCATTTGGCAAAGAAAAATTCCATACATTTCAGTTTTAAGAATTGATCTTTTTTGTATATCTTCATATGGAGCTCTTAATTCTTCTAAAGGAGATCAATATAGTCTAAATATGGCCACAACTCCCAAGCCTCTTTAACGAAACATACATGTATTTCCCTTGGTTATCAAAATAAGATGTCTCTTCCTTTCCTTTGCGATTTATTGTGACCTTTTAGTGCAGAAATTTTAAAAATGCATTGATTCTTTTTATATATATATCCACCTAAATCTCATGAAAAAATGTCTGGAACTTTTGATTTTAGTTTACAATTGCTTATTGACAATTTCAATAGATGATTTTTTTCATGCTTTTTGAGATGATCAAGAGCAACTGAGGTTAACATCTTACACATTGAGCAAATTTCCTTTCACTGTCAGTTCTTTCTTGACACCGCCCCTTTTAGGTTCAGAATCAACACTGAGTGTTCCATAGGCAATACGTGCCTCTTCCTCTGTTGGAAATGGAACACTTAAATCCCTAAGGAAAAATGCAACGATGAATAAGTTAAATATATATCTAAAAATTCTACCAGTTACATGAATTTTTTTTCCATTTACCACAGTTATAAGATTCAGAGCTATCAAATATATGAAACTGAAAATAGATTGATCTTGTCTTTTCAGTTTTGGCTAAAAAATAATTACAAATACACTTTCAAATAAAAACAAAATCACTTACACTTTCAACTTCTCCTCTGTCATTTTTTAAATCTTTACTTTAACCTTAAAAAATACATTAAAATTGCACAAAATATAACAAAAGTTCTGAGTTGAATAAATTTTCTATCTTGTCACATTGTTGGCTGTAAAGTGAAAGTGAAACCGGAAATCTGTTTCACGCATGGGCAATCTTCCCGTGACAAATAACTTCCGATAGATCGTGTCAGTATTCAGTCACGAACAATCAGCTGTTGTGAAAATTTCTTGGGTGTTAGAAACTCATTTCTGTGTAATATATGTTAAATTGTGTCTATTTGGTATATATTTTCGAAATAATGTGACCCTTGGGTGTTATTTTGCGTTTTATAACGGTTCCAGTGAAGAGGGAATCTCCTGTTTATTTTTAGAAACCCCAATCCAAACATAACAATGGGGTTACTATTTTCAAGATTGTGGAGTTTATTTACAAATGAAGGTACGTTTTGTGAAAATTACACCACTTCATTCAATACACACCATATTAAACATAATTTTTGAATTTCTTCTCAATGTAAATCGTGAACTTGAGTTTTATTACACATCCATCCTTCTTCATGAGATTCTTACATCATGATCATGCACAGGGGCTTGTCACGAAATATTTAAGTCACCCCTACTATAAAAATACAATGTATTTTTATAGTAGGGGTAACTTTATAAAAGAAGATAAATATTTCGTGACAAGCCCCTGTGGATCATGTAAGCTACATGTACTGTAAATCACATTCGTCAACTGGATGTATCAGTACATGTATATATTTTCTTGAGAAAAGTAGGTCATGAATAATGAATATATACGATAAAGGCTACTCCCATCATAAATCCACATTAGGTAAATGAAGGTCTGTGTACAATTGGCACTTTTTTGAACAGTGCTGAACACTTTTTAAAAAATATTTTTGATTATACAATAAAACTTGGTTATAACGAAGTCACTGGGGACATGTGAAATAACTTCACTATATCTGTAATTTGTTTTATCCATATAACAAATTCGTTCAAATTTAAATAGCTGGGGATCCAATATTACTTTGCTGTACAACAGTGTATCCGTGAATTCGCAATATCTGTGTTCCCGCTAATCTAGTTTTACTGTTTGCTGTGCTTATGAAAAGGTGTGATATCATATAAATATGTATTATTATATGGATAATATTTGCATACAAAGTTTAATTGCATCTTTCAGTTTGATCGAATAGGAAATACATTGTACCAAGGTTTAACTTTCACTACAGGATAATTTGTTTTTTCTTGGTTTTGGACCAAAATCTCACACCTGTGTAAATCCATATGCTGGGTTTTCACTAAGAATTATGTTTAAATCAAGAAGTTAGAATCTGGGGCATCAGGGTTCCTCCACTAACAGGGGACTTAGAGGATATATCTAAATTGTTTGGATCACAGCGTAATATGTGGGGAAATTCTCTGTGTCTAAGGGATGACCATGATATGGAATTTTTGTCTTTTTTATACTATGCCTTATTACTTCTATAATTTGATTGAAACACTACAGGTAAAAAAAATCCTTTTTTTCTAAAAGTTACTGGAAAATTAATGTATGCATATGCATGTACATGTATTCTCGGTCATTGCAATCTTGAACTCAATACTGGCTGCATTGGTGTTCTATCTTGAATCTGTGCATGTATGTTTAATTAAAACCAATGCTACATATTTATAACAATCAGAGACCTGAAAAAATATATGTGTTTAATTTTATAATGAATGAAAAAGCATAATTGCATTCTTGAGTGTTTGTAGATTATGCATTTAGTCTTGTAATCCATCTTCAACAGGTCACGCACCATAAATGTATGCCTGACAGGTATTTAGCTATAGCTGCAGAACAGTAGCTCTCCAAAAAAATATGTTGACAGACCAGAGAGCTGCAATTACATCCATTGAAAATGTGTACATTTATTGCACACAAAGAAGTGTGCTTTTTCTTGTTTTATTTCTCTGTGTTTTTCAAATTGCCATCTCAAAATTTACTAACTGTGTTACTAATATTTTCTTTAACTATTTCCACAACAAAACATTCCTTATATCAATCATTTATAACCCTCATGGGCGTAAAATTGATACCATCAAAGATTTCATCCACTTTAACTGCCATTTTGGGTGCCAGGATAATTCAGTCAAATGCACTTCATGTAGATTTCACCTATGAGAGTACAAGTAGTTGACAGAGGTCTGAGGATTTTTAAAAAAAATTGTTCACATTGAGGTAAGATCGTTCATCCCAATTTTTCCATTACCAGTGAGCTACAGATCTGCAGCTAGTAATGAGTGCGATCAGTTTAGTGACAGGTATTGTATTTCCGTGATGAGTTCAATGGGCTTGTCTTGAAATGTTGAAAATTATTAAGTTGAACTATAGTTCCGAAAAATACAACTTACTTCCCTCCCCCTAAAAAGAAATCATTCACTGCTAAATAGTAATTGAAAGATCATTCCAAGTTGCTGCTCAATTTATCATTGTACAATTTGACAAATTTAATTACAATTTAAGACTTAAGATTTGACTCACAAAAAGTACATTTAGTCTGAAGTTAATGATGTTACAATATCTATGCATTGAGTAAAGTTAGTAAATAAAATGGAGAAAAAAACACATACAGCTTGTTTCATTGAAATGAGTGTGATAAATGATACAACTATCCCTTTGTTTTACTATTTGGACTATTTATATGCATGTATTTTAATGTGCGACTGTTGACAGATATATATTTATGCAGCCACATTTTATGGTACTGCAAAAAAGACCATTGAAGCTCAAACTCTGGCTGCATATGACGTGTCACCAAAAATTAGATGACATTTATGATTAAATCTGTATTTTTTCTGTTATTACAGAACACAAAGTCATCATCGTTGGTCTGGACAATGCTGGGAAGACAACCATCTTGTATCAGTTGTAAGTAAAATAATGTTTTATTTTTACTTTGAAAATGTATGCAATTGGACAAGGTGCATGAATATTTGTACTTCAAAAATATATGCAATTGGAAAAGGTGCATGAATATTTGTACTTCAAAAATGTATGCAATTGGAAAAGGTGCATGTTTATTAGTACTTCGAAAATATAGTTGCAATTGGAAAAGGTGCATGTTCTAAGGATTTTGAATGGTGTATTCTAATAAATAGTCCATTTTTACATGTTTAAGACGGAATTGTCTAGACATGAACTAATCATGCTAATATCATATTTTTAACCAAATTATCGCACACTTAAGCATTGTAAAGACATAATTGGTTCACTTTTGGTTTACAGGTGTGTGATAATTAGATTTTTTCTATGATAATTAGATTCCTTTCTCAAAGGTTATAACAGGTGATGAACATTGATAAACTTCCTACCTGTGATGTTTTATTAAGGAGATATTAAATGTAATCCGCTTTTCACAGGGTGTGAGGTGTATGGAGAATAATATTGATTCTGACTAGATGTGAGCATGATGAATGTGCTATATTTCAGATGTTGCACATCATGTACATGTACTGTAAAAACTCTGCATGCACATAATTCTTAATCGTTTAGGAATTAGTACATAATTTTATTTTAATCTAAGATACTGATAGCTACAGAACCAAAGCTCAATCTCTAGGGCAAAAAATAGAGACAAACATACACATAACCATGAAAACAGAGAGCCTAGATTCATTGGATTTAAAAGGGGGGTCTCAGGGGGACAGAGTCCAAAATTTTTTGTTCAAGATTTAATAAATCATTTTTTTTTTATGTGGCTGGAGGACTCTTCCCCAACCCCAAACTGCCCCCCCCCCCCCTGCAAGATTCCTGGATCCACCAGTCTGCACAATAAAAGTTTTTAGTAATTTTATGTGACTTTAACATGACTGCATGGTTAAGTTGTATGTCTTTCTTTTCAAACTGCTAACTAATGGCATTTTAATAATATAGTTACATGTTTACATTAACATTTAATTAGCAGTTAATTAAGATGTTGGAATTTGAGAATCTGAATATTCATTTAGAATTAGTAATTTCTTATTCAGAGTGCTGAAGATGTATATTTGATTATTTATAGACTTTCATGCCCTGCACACATATAGCTATATATTATTTAATTTTAGAATTGTCACATAGAGAGTGTATTTGAATTATGGCAATTCTACGTTTTAGGAGATTTTAGAATGTTAATGTACAGTTCATGTTCACAACAATGACATCTGTATTTATCTTCATCTCTTTCTGACCCACTTGCAAATCAAACACACAAAGAAAGTCTTTGTTGTTACAAGCTTTTAATTACAATTTTATTTTGTATTTATACACTGTACATGTATAGGAAAGGAGATACAGTTTTGTTCAGGTGAAATAATTTTCATACATCATGTAGATCTATCACCTTTCTTGCAATGTTGAGAGCACAGGAGCAATCATTATGATATTATGTTCATATTGATAGCTACATTCTTTGTCATGTTTAACATGTTTAAGGATAAAGATTTAAGAAGATTTAAATGTCCAATACACTCCTAGATTTAAAAAAAAATGTACTGGGGTATTTAGAAAATGTAAAAAAAAATTTTAATTCAGTAAACATGGTAAATAATACACAATACACACTTTCCATTCAACCTATCTGTTGTGTCATAACACATCCATTGTGTACAATATATATTCAGGTATTGTACAATTCCTCGTTTAACTATTCATATGAGGCCATTTTAAAAATATTAAATATTTTCTTGCCTTTTCCTGACCTGGGGTAAAATTATTGGGCCTTTAGGTAGGTGAGAAACTCTTTTTTCTAGAAAATTTCAATGTGAATTTTTAAAAATGTTGTGTCACAAATATAAAAAAAAAGTTTTGAGTTGGTCCATTTTAAGTAAGTCAGTGGGGGAGAGGGGAGTCAAACAATTTATGAATAGATGACCCGATCACTGAGTACATTGCATGCAGAGGTCAGACAGGTGTTTCCTTTCAAAAAAAATCAGAAAAAATTCTCACAGAGCAATCATTACTGAGGTTTAAAAGGCAAGGCGATCACGGACAATTGTATTTGAACCCGAAATTTATATTTAAAGGGCAGGTCTTACAATGCTGTAAAACGGGTAGTGTTCTTTAGGCCCTTACTTTCTTGATATTCACCTGTCCTAGGTCTCTCATTGTATTGGTCATTGAGACAGTCAAATAGAATGTTACAAACTCTAGAATCTTATTCAATTATAGGACTTTACTGGTTTGTTCTCAGTCTCTTCATATTGTATTGGCCATTCAGATAAGTAGAATATTACAAACTCTAGTATCTAATTGAAAAGGACTGTGGTTTGCTATAGTTTGGCTATTTTATAAGCCAACCCCCTCCCCCAAACAGCCCCTAAACTAATAACTAAAATACAACCCATCTTCCGAGTTCATCGCTTTGGTTTCATAGGGGAATTTTTAAATTTCTCTCTGATATTGTTTACAAAATTGTTAAGCATGTTATGCATGCCTGTAATTAAAATACGACATGCACTGTGAACATGGTGGAACAAAAATTTAAAAAGTGCCTTGAATTCTTTCAGTACTTATTCAATGCTATGTACACTTCATGAATGACTAATATATTCATTTGCAGGGATCTAACTTATTTAATTACATATATATGAGTTGAAAAAGCCTTTTGCTTAAGATTTAAATTTATTTCATGTAAATGTACAGTTTAAGAAGTATTAACTAAATGTTATATAAACATATGGATTCACATTTTCTTTTTCCTCCCTTTATTTTGTTCTCCCATTACATGAAAATTCTTTGATTGTATATTTTTGCAGGAATCTTTTTTTTTCCAAAATGACTTATCATGTTTAAGATCAAACGAAAATGCTGATAAACCTTTCTAATTTTAATTTTAGTTTAATGAATGAAGTTGTTCACACGTCTCCCACCATAGGCAGTAATGTAGAAGAGGTGATTTGGAAGAATATTCACTTCCTGATGTGGGACATAGGAGGTCAGGAAACGCTGCGATCGGCCTGGAACACGTACTACAGCAATGCTCAAGTGAGTACTAAAGCAAGGCTCAAGTGAGTATTACAGAAACACTTAAGTGAGTATTACAGCAACGCTCAATTATTACAGCAAGGCTCAAGTGAGTACTAAAGCAATGCTGAAGTGTGTATAACTGCAATGCTCAAGTGAGTACTACAGCAATGCTGAAGTGTGTATAACTGCAATGCTCAAGTGAGTACTACAGCAACGCTGAAGTGTGTATAACGACAATGCTCAAGTGAGTATTATAGCAATGTTCAAGTGAGTACTAAAGCAATGCTGAAGTGTGTATAACTGCAATGTCAAGTGAGTACTACAGCAATGCTGAAGTGTGTATAACTGCAATGCTCAAGTGAGTACTTCAGCAACGCTGAAGTGTGTATAACGGCAATGCTCAAGTGAGTATTATAGCAACGCTCAAGTGAGTACTAAAGCAACGCTTAAGTTGAGTATTAAGGCAATGCTCAAGTGAGTACTACAGCAACACTCAAGTGAGTATCACAGTAATGCTCAAGTGAGTACTACAGCAACATTTAAGTGAGTATTACAGCAACACTCAAATGAATATTAAAGAAATGCTCAAGTGATCGAGTGTTAAAATGTAAAGACTAAAACTGTATAAACTGTATTTGTATAAATATTTTGTGTTACTGTATCCAACTCCAAGGGTGTATTTGAACTTAACTCATCAATCTTTATTTCCCTACCACATTTGAATATTCAGACACATATGGATAGTTATTTGATTCTTAATGACTGTTCCTTTTTTCTCTGTACAGTTTGTTATTCTGGTTGTGGATTCCACAGACAGAGAAAGGTTGTCCATCACAAAAGAGGAGCTGTGTAAAATGCTGAACCACGAGGTACGTCACTAAGGATTTCATTTTATTATCTCAACATGAAGAAAAATCACCCAAAACTTTGTAGAATTATTAACCTTCATTCTTTCTTCTCTGAAGTGTTTTTTTTTTTGGGGGGGGGGGGGGGGGTACTTTTTTGACTGTCCATCTGCATGTTTTTTCCAAAGCCTTTAAATTTGCTAATATTTTTGATTGGTTGGTGCTAGGGATTTTATATTTCCCTTGTGTTTCTTGTAACAAGAGCTTTCTTTAGATAATTTTAATTTTTTGAAAAGTTTTTATTAAAGTTTCCAAAATTTGTATGTGTATTCCTTTCTACAACATTGTACATTTTTTGACTCAAGACCCGGAAAGTGGAGTTTGAAATATGTTTGAAAGGCTTTACCAAACTTTTGATATTGGCATTCAGGTTTCTCTTACTTCTCTTTCTTTGCCTTCCATACTTCTTGAGTTCATTTTTAGTGGAGTGGGGTGGGGGTGGGGTTCTAGGATAGGATTTACCATGTATTGCTGCTATGGCTAGCAAAAAGTGTGCCCTATCCACATGACCCAGCTTTGCTTTTGCTTCATTATCTCCTCTTCAGTAGGATTTGTTTGTTCTATTTTGACATTGATCTTGTCAGACCTATTGATATCTTGTGATTTCTGACTTCATAAATTTACCTTGTATAGTATATTGAGATTTTTTTTTAGTTATAGAACTTTTTAAAATTAATTTTTAAAAATTTTTCTGAAACAAAAATAGCATAATTATAAACGTATAAATGAATTCAGAATTTTTTTTTAGATTAATGAAATTCAAAATTTTGAACACATATTTAATCAAATTTAAAATATTTTGTTTTTAAATGAAATCGCTTTTTTTTATCTGTACAGTGTGCATGGGTCAACTAATTCCACTACACTCTTTCTGATAAACTGTGTAGTAGAGTTTGAATGGAATGTGCACAATGTATATTTAGTAATATGTGATAAAAAGGGACTGTACAGTCATGACATATTAATGTAACTTATGTAGGTCTTATGCCCTACAGGTGAATTATCAATTTATATATAATGAGGACGGGTTATAAAAGTGATAGATGCAAATCAGCAGATAATTGCATGTATTTGCATAATAAGAATATAGGTGCAATTGCAAATTACTGGAAAATTACAGTTTAAGTTTGAGTATTTCTTTATAAAATAATGTTATATAAATGTTTTAACCTGTTGTACGAAGTTTGAAAGAGATTTTTAGTTTTGATTATTAAACCAATATTTTATAGGATTTAAGGAAGGCAGCCATTTTGGTATTTGCGAACAAGCAAGACATTAAAGGCTCCATGTCTGCTGCCGAGATTTCACAGCATTTAAATTTAACGTCCATTAAAGACCATCCCTGGCATATACAGGGCTGCTGTGCTCTTTCAGGAGAAGGGTAAGTTATCAAATATACAGACTGCCCTCTCATTGGAATAGGGTAAGTTATCAAATATACAGACTGCCCTCTCATTGGAATAGGGTAAGTTATCAAATTTACAGACTGCCCTCTCATTGGAATAGGGTAAGTTATCAAATATACAGAGCTGCCCTCTCATTGGAATAGGGTAAGTTATCTAATATACGGCTGCTCTGTCCTCTCATTGGAATAGGGTAAGTTATCAAATATACAGAGCTGTCCTCTCATTGGAATAGGGTAAGTTATCAAATATAGGGCTGCTCTGCCCTCTCATTGGAATAGGGTAAGTTATCAAATATACAGGGGCTGCTCTGCCCTCTCATTGGAATAGGGTAAGTTATCAAATATACAGAGCTGCCCTCTCATTGGAATAGGGTAAGTTATCAAATTTACAGACTGCCCTCTCATTGGAATAGGGTAAGTTATCAAATATACGGGGCTGCTCTCTCATTGGAATAGGGTAAGTTATCAAATATAGGGCTGTTTGGGAATAGGGTAAGTTATCAAATATAGGGCTGTTTGGGAATAGGGTAAGTTATCAAATTTAGGGCTGTTTGGGAATAGGGTAAGTTATCAAATTTAGGGCTGTTTGGGAATAGGGTAAGTTATCAAATATAGGTCTTTTGTGCTCCATCAGGGGAATTTAGTAGCTAGAGAAGTGCAAGTACATGTATAAGAAAAGTGGGGGGAAAAAATTAAAAGATAAAGCTGTATTTTTTTTTTTTTTGGATAATTCTTCAAGTAGTATGTTCTTTTCATAATTAGTTGTAAATTAATTGATCACTTTAACAAAACCACATTATGATTAAAAATAAGAAGAGCAGTTTATTTGGCATATAACATGGTAAATGGTATCTGAAAAGATTTTCAGATCTCAAAGTAATTGACTAAGCAGTAAAATATCCTGTTTTATACACTGACTGTCATTTTATTGTCAGACATTATTTTTTTTTTGTTATAATTTTAGGTTGTATCAGGGCCTAGAGTGGATCACCAGTAAACTTAAGGGACGGTGACCTTGACTGTTACATATAAACACTACAAGGTTAAAACAAAGCATTGGAGGTCAAAGGTCAGCAGACAAGGTCATTAGTATTGCTTCTATTTATGTGTTCTTTTGTTCCTAGTCTGTTCAGCCCTCAGGAACTCACTTCAGAGTTTTGTTTGTAAGGAGCCTAAATACTTATTGAGATACATCATTTTGATTGCACATTGTTATGTAAAGCATTGTTTGATCCCATGATGGTTCATATTTGTTAACATTGAAAAAATTTTTACTTGGTAAAGACATTAATTTTATTCTTCCTGCTGTTTTCTCAAGAGATACTGTATAGCAGGAATTTTCAGTGGCTTGCTATCTTTGGCTTATTTAAGAAGTTTTGTAAAAGGCTTAAAAAATTGAAATCTGCAAATTTGCACCCTTGATTATGAGAATTGAATATAAGAAAAATTGCTTTTGTTAAATGTTAAATCTTTCATCTGATGTTGGTTTTCAATCAAACTCTTGCTTAAATCAGTAAATATTAAATATACAACATTCTTTAAAAAGGTTAACATTCTTTTGCAACAACACAGAACTCTGTGGCCATGAAAGAAATTTTTGCCAAAAGCAAGCAGATCGCCAAATTTTGCACCTGCTGAAGAAACCCTCTTTATGGTTTCATAACATTTATTTTAAAAACTTCTTTTTATATGTTATATAGCAAGTTTGTGGTCAAATCAGTTTCATATTGACTTTTGAGCCAAGTTTAATTTAGTTCAAAATGTTATTAATATTTCTGTTAGACCATTTTTATATTGATATTTTTAAGTGCTGAATGCCATTGTAACTTATACATATGTAAATGTGAGCTTTTTGTTTAATGAAAATGGTGCTTGATAATGCTTTGAATCTACAATTTTTATTTTAAATGCAAGATATGCCCATGCCTAGCAAGCAATTTTGGTTTTTATTACATTACCAAATTATTTCAAAGGAACAAGTTTTGATAAAGATCTGAAGTCATTTGGGAAAAACAACTACCTCTAAGAAAGGGTAAAGAAATTCAAACTCCTAGATAAAAAAACAAGTGCTGTTCTAATTATGGAACTCATTGATGAAGTTGTTAATTATTAACTTGAATAAGCCATATTGTCTTGAGCGAATAATCTGTTTTAATAAGTAAATCAAAGCTAAATAGTGTAGAACAAGAAAATCACTTCATACTTTCTCCGTATTTTCTGTGTAAGAGATTTAAAAATAGAATTAGATGGATGAATTCCATGCAATACCAGTACATGTATATAATTCTGCTCAGAGATTTCAAGCCAAAATCTAATTGCCAGATGTCCACAAATCACATTTAAATAAATAATTTTATTCCGAAAAATAATTATTGAAGACTCCTTTTTTCTGCCACATTTGCAGTAATATATTAATAATTTCAGAATACCTAAATTATAATTCCTAGATGCATGTACTTTATTATTTGTTTTAGTTTTGATTTAAGATAAAGTGTGTCAATTTTACTTTCCAGTTAACATATAAAATTGTGATAATGCCAAAAGTTTAATATGTGTGAGAAATGTTGATTTGCTGCCATTTTCTTGTATTTAACAATAAGGGACAAGCCTTCGTGTTATATAGTGAGATTGGTAAAACATATTGATCATTCTAATTAAGAAAGCTCCAAGTACAAGACAATTGTATTCAGACTTTTGTTAAAACTCGATCATATAAAGGTGTACATTAATTCAATTATTCTAGTTTAATTCAACATTTGGTATCTGACATATTTCTCCAGGAAAAAAAATTCAAATTAGCGATCAAAAGTAAATAACTGATGTGTACATGTATTAGATGAATAAATGTAAAAAAAAAATTTTTTTCAATGACTCTATCATAATCTTTATATATAATGTTAAGGATACTTTGATCAATTTTCAAACTGTGTCATTTACTATTAAGATCTTTTTATTCTATTTTACACTAGTACCCTACACTTATCAGTTTATACAGGTTCCTCAACAAATAATTCATATATGAAACAGATTTTTTTCCCTATATTTAGGGAAATTTAGGAAAATTTATGGAAAATATATATGTATAAATTAATGGAAGTTAAATTAAGACAACAGTGCAAGGTGCCATAAAATGTCTTTTTTTCTAACAGAGAAAATAATATTGATTTTCCCCCCCCCAAAAAAAAAATGATAGTTGGTGGGTGATGGATAGTTGATGTGTGAAAAATAACAAAGAATGTAGGGAACGTTATACAAAGGGATGGACAATTTTGTAAAATAGGAACACTAACACCCTAGTCTAAAGGATAAAGGAGTTGTCAAGCACGAGCTTTAAGAACATATTGTTAAAATCACAGCATTATATATTTTGATAAAGCACTTATCACTAATTTTAGATATGCATGTAGATTTTAGCAACTAGTTAGGGCTTTAAAAGGTGAGAATGTTTTGTTGGCACCCTCTACCTCCATTTTTTCTGATAACACACACAAATTAACCCACACAAAAAAAATCTCCTGTTCCATGAATACATGTATGTTTTTATGGAAGTTCTTCTTGATTTTTTTTCACTGCAACAAAATTCACATCTCCTTTTAAAACCTAAAACTTTTAACCATTTTAATATTTATTTTAATATGCACAGTTTCAGAATTAAAAAAAAAGATTGTCAACTTGTCTGTTTTGACATTATAGAACTCTTCAGTAATTGGAGATAAGAATCATTATCATCATTCTTGTGCATCCCCAAACAGTTTATGTTTAACATCCTGCACACTATTTATACCATATTTTTGATAATGACTAAATTTTGTTTGAAAGTTGAGTGTGGAAGATTTTGTTAAAGAAGATAAGTTGCCATTGTCCTCAAATAATGTACATGTGTCCAGTGTCCACCATTTTGAAGCCAGTACTTTGTTATGCACGATCACTTCTTATTTGTGAATTGTTGTTAAAGTTCAATTGATGTAGTGTACTTGTTATGTTTGAACTTATTTTATCCTTGTAAGAAAATTTGTTTTCATTCACAAATGATATTTATGTTTTTATATAGACCATGACATTTACAAATGCATTAATTTTGTTACTGAATTTTTAACAAATTATGTGGAATTTGAACAAGAAACAGCTAATTTGATCACTATTTTTATTTTAATTAAGAGTTCAAAACATAATATACCTAGCTGTCAATTCAATTACTGGTAATTATTCTAGATTGTCTTATTCATTACAGCTTTTTAAAACCATACATACAACCTGTAAAAAAAAAAAGAAAAAAGAAAATATATACCCTCTCTAAACCACAGATGTTGATTTTAAAATTATTTTATAACAGTATCTTAGTTCCTGAGATGAAAATAGAGGGTAATTTATTGATAGGGTTAAAAAAAAGGTTTTAGAGTATCAATTTTGTTTTTATATGTTATATGTATTTTGATCATATTATCAGAATATGTTTGCTTAATATTGCTTCGTAAATCTAGGTTGTAAAAAAATATCATTCTTATGTAATACTGTTTGCAAGAAATTGCCATAAACTTTATTTAGAAAGAAAAAAAAATCTTAGTCCTTGGGGCTTTTCTTTTTGACAAGCTTGTAACTAAGTTTTTTTAACATCATAAAAAATGTATTCATTTCTCACAGTATTTTTTGCATTCAAGGTATGATTTTCCCCCAACACTGAAACTGCACATACATGTAATACAAAGGAGGTCATTTTAAAGATGTATATTTTTATATGACTAAGACAAATGTGCTTTATTGAATGAAAATGTATGTCATGTTATATTTTGGTGCACATTTTATTTGGAATGGTATGTATGCTAGATTGTAAGTTGTATGAAAATTAAAGCTGTATGAGAATAAAAATTATGTCTGTCTGAACATTTGTTTCTTCGCTAAATGCTCGGCATTAGAAGTGAAATTCACGAATCTTTCGGATATGACCTTAAAAACGTAGGTCCCGTGTCATGGTATGCGTTGGCACGTTCAAGAACCCCCACTGCTCAGTGGCCCTGAGTGCGGAGTATAGATCTAAATTTTAAGCCCTTCACCGGCATACAGTTACATCTCAATATGTGAAAAATTCTCTAGAAGGACGTTAAGCAACATACAATCAATCAATTTTCTTGTTCACTAATAGCTACTTTTCATGTACTAAGTTTTTATGAACACCATACTAATATTTATGTTACACAACATTGTTACATGTCAAACAAGATGTGTTTGTGAATGTTTGATGTCAACAGGATAAAATGTTAGGCTTTCTCACAAGGTAAACACCTGTGAAATGTAAAAGCCCTAGCACTTACTGTTAAAAAAGTCAAGGATAAAGTTTTTTTTAAGTAGGTAAAAGGCTATGCTAAGGTCAAATAGTACAAATTGTTGATCAATACAGATGTGAGGGTCTTGTTACAAGAAACACGCAAATGAAATATGGAAGACATAGCACTAACCATTCGAAAGTTATTGCCAAGGTTAGAAGGTGTTTTTTTTCAAAAGTAGGTCAAACTCAAAAGTTTGTTCTACCCAAGGATATTCTTTTCACATTATGGAAAACACCTGTGACTTATGAAAGACCTAGTTTCAACCGTTCCAAAGTAATAACCAAGGTTAAAGTTTTTCATCAGTGATTCAAACTCTACGGTCAAAATTGGAGGTAGCTCATGTCGGTATTGTCGAGTAATGATCACAACTTGAAGCCCTTCATCGGTTTATGCTCAGCCACGTAGCGTCGTTTTTAGCTCACCTGAGCCGAAGGCTCAAGTGAGCTTTTCTGATCACATTTTGTCCGGCGTCCGTCTGTCTGTCTATCTATCTGTCTAGCCGTCTGTCTGTCTGTCTGTCCGTCTGTCTGTAAACTTTTCACATTTTCGTGATCTTGCCACAAAACATCCTTGGGTGAAGGGAGTTCAAGTTTATCCCGTTCAAGGGGAGATAATTGGGAATTTGTGAAAATTTGGTGGCATGTTTTAAAAATCTTCTTCTCAAGAACCACTGTGCCAGGAAAGATGAAACTTATGGGGAAACATATAGGTAAATTCTTTAAAAATCTTCTTCTCAAGAATAACAAAGCCATAATTGATCCATCTTCGCAAACCACGGCCAAAATGTACGCTCCTCTCCCATCTGGCCGTAGTTGAACGAGGAGAGAATTCTTCGTAGCTCATTAAAATATTGACCAATGCGAGTAAAGCATAGTCGGATGATGAACGCAGTAAAGGAAATATTTCCTGTTGACGTCAGTTGTGATTTCAATTGAAACAAAACTTGCCACCTTAAGCACAATAGAGAGGCGTAAATAAAATAAGTTGGTAGATGTAGCAACTGTTCGTTCGTCATGCGCTCGGAACTTGCAGTAAAAGTTGCGGGTCCTTCAAATGAGACCTTAAGCTAAGGCCCCGCGTTTTCACAGGCGTTGGGATGATAAAGATTCCTTATTACTGCTCATTGGCCCTTAGTGTCGAGTAATGATCACAACTTGTAGCCCTTCACCGGTTTATGCCCAGCCACGTAGCATCGTTTTTGATAGGGTAGGTATTAAATAAACAACCAAAATTGGGGCTCTGGGGTTCTGGTGTTAAGAGAAAACTCTTTTTTAACTACTTGAAAAAGTTGACAAGCAAGAAACAAAGAAAGGAAGTTTGTCCAAACTCAAAAATCCTTTTTCGGGGGGGGGGGGGGGGGGGGGAAAATTTTCTTCTCTGGGGTATAAAGCAGATGAACTACCTTTAGAGGGCCATCTTTTTGCAATGCCAAATCATTCAGTACACCATTTTTTTTGGTGCCTGGTGCTGACGTCTCTAAATGAGTGAAAAATTCTCGAATGAGACGTATATAACAACATACAATCAAGCAAACTAGTAAAATAACCAAATTTATCAGATATACCGTACATTGTATATTAGTGGAACGCAATTTTAGCGATTTGTCCTTAAAAGACGGTACTTTATTTTTAGCGATTTTTTAAATGCTAACCAAGAAGCTAGTGACAACTTAAACGCAGTAATTATTATTTTTTAGCGATATTTAATTTTTGCACCCTCCCTAATAATGCCAAAAATAAATCCTCGCTAAAAATTATGTTTATACGGAATCTTATTTCCAACTTCAATTGGATACATGTATATATCGAAATGCATTAAGAAAAATCCACTAAAACTGACAAAGAGAGTGAGGATAACTGTTACGTGTATTACTTTGTCATTCTTTTATTTTTGGGTTTCAAATAGAACATTACTTTGCAAGAATTTAAACACAATGTATACATAAAGATTCATTCAGTACATATATGTGATATGCCGTAGAGAACCTGTAATGTGGTGGTACCCTACAGCTTTCCATAAGCACATTTGTTGAGGTACATCTGCACAACGTCTTAGAATTTTCTACAGGGGGCCACTGGAGGGGGTGGTGCCGGGGGAACCACTTTTACAACAGCTCCATCATCATTCGGGGGCTTCTTGGCGTTATTCACGGATTTTAATAATGGGTCGTCGCCGTAAACTAGCTCTCTCTCGGAAGAACAGACATGGTGCTTATCGCCACTGAAATATTTATATGATGGTGATTTATTTTTTCTTCTATCTTCAAGTATCCTATTTTCTTCAGGGCAATAGTGTATCTACAAGAAATAATTTAAATTATTAAAATAAGATCTTGATGGAATAAAGAAAAGAATTATAAATTTTGAAATTTAAAATGTCCAGAAATAATAACGGAGACCGATAGAATCATATAAAACTTGAATTGACCCTGTTGTTTTTCGTAAAATAAAATAAATATATACACACACACCCCCAAGAAGTCACCCCCATATTTTGCCCCCCCCATATATAGTTCCTTACAAAATGTTTGTTAATATACACGACACTAAAGCGATTGAACGCTTAACTTTAAAGTCAGAAAGTGTCACATTTTTCAGCAAAAAGTGCAAAACTTTCATAAACGAAGCAAATTTTGGTAAAAATTATTTACGTTTTTTTTTCTTTTAACACAACAGTTTTGTAATAATTATTACTAAAAAGGGGGGTGGTGTTTAAATTTCGTCTTATACACATTGCCTCCATGAAAAATTCTCGAGAGGACCGTCAAACAACAAACAAACAGACCACACCAGCGCAAACAGCCAGGAGAATAGCTTAGAAGAATTACACGCTTAGTGTGGACTTTCAGTAAGGCGTGGCATTCTCGACGTTACCTAATTAGCTTCTGAAATTTACACAGCTTCCCTTCACTGTTGAAATATACATATGATAGAAGTGCGGCCGAATGTCAACTGGTGTAGTAAATAGCCAATCAAAAGTTCTCTCACGGCACAGAGGTGGGGCATAAGTCGTCTGATCGATATCAACAACAATTTTAAGTTCCTATTTTATTAATTTCGTAACCAATGAGAATCTACTAGTATTCTCCATTACGTAGCGCCGAGAAAGTCACGCCTACTGAAAGTCCAAAGATAGGGTAAAATACTCCTACAATACCTCCGATATACCAGAATCATCGTTTCTGTCTTTGATTTCCGTTGTTTTGTGATTTTCATCCTGTTCCTTACACTGAGAGACATTGATTTTGAACGGATCTTCACGTGTTTTATCCCGATCATTGTGGTTCCAGTCAGAGAATTCTTGGAGTTCCTGTTCCTGGTTATTGTTGTCATGGTCGATATATCTGTCTATAAGTGAACTGCAGCATCCCATTTTGATTATTTTTTAACCAGCTGCAATATGATACAGTTAAAAAAATATGTAGTAGTTACCGTATAAGTTTTTATTGGTTTTCTCCACATACCCTATAGAGAGGTTAAAAGGTCACGAGAAGGCGCAGCCTTCGAGTGACCTTTTAACCTCTCTATAGGGTATCTGTAGGAAACCAATAAAAACGTATACGGTAAGTCACATGTACCATAGCACTCTCAGAATTCCTAATATGGCAGGGGGATTATGTACAAGTTCCAAAAATATTTCCTAATATGGTTTGTCACCTGACATAGTTATAATAGCACGCGCTGTACATTGTTCATGTATAATACATTTAATTGCGGATTTCGCGCACATGCAGTTAAAAAGCGAAAATGGACGAACGTGATGCAATGAGCATGGATATTGAACTGCCGCAAAATTTTGAATGGGACAGTTTTATCGATGACCAAACTCTTTCACAAATAGGACAGTTGATAGAGGACGAAGTAAACGTGTTTGATGGTTTTGGGATTTATCTCTTACTCAAGCGGATTTTCATTTGACCAAAGAGCCGGTTACACCCGAGAATGATATACAGCAGTTGGACCCTTCTGACGATCGATGTGGGAAGTTTTACCATGTTTACGATAACGATAATATGAAAGCCCTTCTAAAGGCTACCGAGAGTAAAAACTCGAGAAAAAACACAAGTTGGAGTGTGAAAACTTTTTAAGAATAGCGATCTGCGTGTATATTAGGTACCGGAAGTGAAATTCCTGAACTTGAGAATTTAACCGAACCTGCACTCATTAACAAGTAGCTAGTTAAGAGGTAAATTTGTTGTGGAAGCTCGCAGAAAGATGACCATCCATACCCCCCAAAATCATTGTACATGTTATGTGTGGAATACTAAGGTACTTTCGAGAATGTGGCATACACGAAAATTTCCTTGCCTTTTTTTTTTTAAATGGATTGTAAATCAAGATTTTATCATTTCTAGTTAAAGATGTCGACCTAATTCTTTTTTGTTTTTTTTGCCATTATACTAGTATTATGTACATATGTGTACACATTATTAAAGATTGAAAATAAAGTTTTGTTTTGTATGTAATTCAAGGCTCCGCCTATAGGTTATGAAGGATCCGCCTATGGGTAGATAAACCATAGATAAAACAACAGAAAAAATGGCGACCTATGGTACATTAATCGTAAAACTCACTTAATCCCATGGTACATGCAGGGGCTGATCCAGCAATTTTTGAAAGGGGGGGTTCCAGGGTTGTGTCCCCCTAACACCCCCCCCCCCCCTTACACACTCTCAGCCAAAGATTCACACACACGTGTATGGAAAAATATAAGATTGTGGAAAATATCTTTGTTCTACGTCCTTTTTTTCTTTGAAAAGGTACCCCCAGTCCGTATAAAAAAAATTAACACATTTAAAAAACTACTGAAGCCTTAAAATTGAATGGATTTGCATTATTTCCGAAAGGTAGAATGGATTTTCTTGAAGAATTTGAAAATCCTTTTTGAGTTGGGTATAAAACGATGAATTAATATTTAGTTCCTTCATAAGATTTAATTTTTAAAAAAAACGACATCTTCTTGTATATAGCCAACACAGCCAAATTAAGATCGCGGGAATCTAATATCAAATCTAACCTCGCATGTTACATATCATAGATATATAAAAATAAGTAGAATATTTTCTACCATTCACTCATAAAAAGTAATAGTGAAGGTGAATGGAAAACCTACCGGTAAATGTGTGAGAATCTATCTATTCGATACATATTTAAGTTAGACGTACAAATACTTATTCTCGGGAAACGTTTTATCCCCCTTCTTTCTCTCTCTTTCTCCACTTGGCAAAAAATAAAGGGGGGTCCAACCACCGGAAACCCCCCCCCCCCTGGATCCGCCAATGACATGCATATAATTTGAGCAAATATGTGTATAATCATAGATATGCAATACATGTATACATTAAATTTTGAATGCTGACATATTTGTAAGCTTGGGGGAGGGGGGGGGGGGGGGGTAAATAGCTTTTCTTCTTCTTGTGAAATCCATATGGTCCCACTGTCTGGGGTTTTGGTGTTCTAGGACGGGGCTATATTAGATTATATAGTGAAATGCATTATTTCTTTGAAAATTTTATTCTCTGCTCCTGGGTATTTAATAAACTAAGTATAAGTATTGTGAGCAAGAATGTCTCTTCCAGAATTGTAAATTTTACGCAATAGCCCCAGGATCAGGGGTTTTGGTGTTAGGGCGGGGCTCTATTGATAATATAGTGAAACAACATTACTTCTTTAAAATCTTCTTCTCTGCTCCTTTCTTCTCTGCTCCTGGGTATTAAATAAACCAATCAAGTACATAGCTATGTTGAATAACTCTGCCTATTCCAAAATTGTGAATTCTCTGCTCCTGGGTATTAAATAAACTAATCAAGTACATAGTTATGATAAGCAGGAATGCCTCTTTCGAAATTGTGAATTTTTTGGCCCCAGGGTCAGGGTTTCTAGTGTTAAGACGGGACTCTATTGATTGTATAGTGAAAATACATTAAATCTTTTGAAAATCGTCTTCTCTGCTCCTGAGTAATAAGCAGATGAACTGCATATATAGCTATGATTAGCAAGGGTCCTTCTTCCAGAATTGTGAATTTCAAGGCCACGGGGTCAGGGGTACCATAGAGGGGGACTATACAAGAAACCTACAGTGTCTTATCCAACATGCATTGGGAGACAAATTCTGTGTCGGAATAGACAGGGTGCCGGATTATACAGTGTAAAGAAACCTGGAAATGGGAACGAAATTAAATGTCGGATTTCACAGTGTGCCGGATTACGCAGGTGTTGGATTAGACAGTTTTAACTGCCAGGTACTTATACAATGTATACTGAAAATGAATTAATTGTTTGAAATCTGCTCCTTGGTATTAATCAGACATTTTTGATAAGCAAGGGTGCCTTTTCAAAAATTGTGAAATGTGTGGACCAAGGGTCAGGGGTTCATTTGTGGTAGGGGCACTTCTGATTATTGCTGAATATTACTGATTAGTTGAAATGCATTTTTTGTTCCCCTACCCTGCCTATGGGTATTAAGTAACCAAAGTAAGCTATTGCTAACTGTATAATTATGATGAACTATGGCACCTCTTTCAAAATTGTGAATGCCATGGCATCTAGGTATTATTTAGAGTACCAGTTTCCTACTGTATCAGAGATACAGGGCGGGGCTTGAGGCGAGAGCGATAGCTCGAGCCGGGCCCCGCACTGTATCTCTGATACAGTAAGAAACGAGTATTCTAAATGACTTGTGACATGACCTTTCCAAGGACCTCACTAATTTACATGCGTATTTGGGTACATACCTCCCAACCAATCAGATGATTTTGCAGAAAGTTGATTTAGTATCCCATTAATTAAGCATTCGCAACTGAAATGCCGAGTGAGATGGACGTGCAGGTATCTATCATTTTAAAATAATTATTTAAGGGATGCATAAATTAATTTGTTCTCCAAAAATTTTATTTAGATTTGATTGCGCAGGATTTTTTTTTCTCTATGCACTTTTTGCTGACTTTTTTTTTTCGGTTTAAGCTACGATTTAATGCAAAACATTTTGATATATAAGAATCATGTGGGAATATTTTTGAAACAAAAATGCTTCGGGAGATCGTAGATTCTGAGAGAAATGTCCGACAATGTCCTCCACCGGTCGTCATATACAAATTGAAATAAGCAGATGAAAGGAAAGGGGGGGGGGTATTTTACGATTATGTTTTCATTAAAATGTAGAGTAACTATAAAAAGGGGAATACAGCACACACTGGTGCCCCCATCCCACCTCCTTTGAGTTTTTTTTTTCTTTTTCGCTTTCGTAAATAATTTTTTTTCCTAATCTTGTATACATACGCTTTTTAATTCGTCAACAAGTAACGAAATGACGCACATAGGTGTTGGTTGATTATAAATATAACCCCACGGAATACGATTTTCCGTTTTTTTTTTTGGAGGGGGGGGTCAAAGTAATAATTTGTGAACTTCCCCACTCCCTCCTTTCTAAAATTTTTGAATCCGACAATTATACCTTTACGTTGTAAAATTTTATTCTTAATTCACCTCAGTTTTTGAGTAAATACTAACAGTTCTATGGCGAATTGAACGATTGGTATGTCTGTATATGGATACAGCTTTCCGTTTATAAACCGTACTGTATCGTTGATATTTTGCAGATACGGTACAGTTTCTGCTCATTTGCATAAGAAATGCCCACAAAAAGTGTTCTGTATCGCAGTTACAGTATGCTTGACTTCAAAGGAAAACTCACCGGGTCATGTCACAAGTATTATTTAGAGTACCAGTTTCCTACTGTATCAGAGATACAGGGCGGGGCTTGAGGCGAGAGCGATAGCTCGAGCCGGGCCCCGCCCTGTATCTCTGATACAGTAGGAAACGAGTATTCTAAATATAACTTGTGACATGACCCGGCGAGTTTTCCTTTGAAGTCAACCGTACTGTAACTGCGATACAGAACACTTTTTGTGGGCGTTTCTTATGCAAATGAGCAGAAACTGTACTGTATCTGCAAAATATCAACGATACAGTACGGTTTATTTTTAGCTATGACGGAAAGCTGTATCTGTATATACAGACACAAAATCGTTCAATTAGCATGATGCATGTAGCACTGTTAGTATTTACTCAAAATTTGAGGTGAATTAAAAATAAAATTTTACAACGTAAATTTATTCGTGTCGGATTCAAAAATTTAAGAAAAGAGGGAGTGGGGCAGTTCACAAATGACTACTTTGAACACCCCCCCTTAAAAAAAAATCAGTGGAAAATAGTATTTAGTGGGGTTAGATTTATATCCAACCAAAACACTATGTGCGTGATATCGTTATTTGTTGATAAATTAAATACAAGTTTACCAAATATCATTTACGAAAAAGAAAAAAATTAAGGAGGGTGGGATGGGGGGGGGACCAGTGATTACTCAGATCCCCTTTGGTTACAATACATTTTATTAAA